CAGATAACTTTTACTTGACAACTAATCTCTTTTATGTATATCACTAAATTGCTATAAGAATTGTAAAACAGTATATCTGCGCGTACGTACAGACAAAGGTGGGGTCCAAGAGCTAACAGCTCGATCCAGAAGGCACAAATAGAAAATATAAATAGTAAATACACGCGTTTTCTGGGGTAAAGTCGTTATTTTCAGTCTTTTTTATGATTAACTAATGTGTTTACTTATAACAGAATTAACACAACCAGCGAAATTTATTTCTACCTGTTGCATTAACAATTTATGGGTGATTTGGGAGTCACAAGAATCCCGTCCTGCACAGCACTTTTCTATACTCAGTTTATACGTCTCAGTTCATTAACGGTGAATGAGGCTATTGCTCTGAGCTATTACATTTAAACTGGAACAACAGGACCACATTACACTGAAATAATAGGATAACACAAACTTTTTTTTTATCCGTTACGAAAGCAAAAAATCACGTTTGTTATCATAACCTGAGCCCTGAGCCCTCCTGAGACTTGTGCATGACGCGGTGCAGATTTATACAACGTTTCCTTTTAAGTGTCAACAGAGTGCGACCTGAGCACACTTGTTGCCTTCAGTTCAATGCACTTTGATGCTTCGTATTGACGATAAACATTTTATGAGGTTTCCATTTCTCACGCGAGTAGCGCCTTTCCAGACTGAAGTTGCGTGACATGAGATGTGCAACAGAGAGCACTTTTCTGCAGTAATAATAACAAATATCAGAGCCACAACCTTGTGGCTGTGAGGGAGGAGACTTGGAGCAGCCTGTATATAAGAGCACAGTGACGGCTCCTCACTACATCAACACCGCCCTCACAACATGTGTCTGAAGGTGTGTAACGCTCTGTGTCCAGGCGAGTCTCATGTTTTCCGGTCGGGTTTCGTGGTTTTCAGTCGAATGTTTTGCTGTGTTCAGTTGAATCAGTTGGGAGTCTTGCTGCATGTAGGTGTTTATCACTCTGTGATCTGAAGAATGTTGTAGTATGTCAAAGTGTCAGAGTGACCATACAATAAGCAGTATGCAAGCGTTATGTTGTGATCTAGTGTCAGAGACAGTCTTCTTTTATCAGTTAAACTGACAAGCTTATGACATCCGCAGCTGTGTGACTGTTATAAATCATCTAATTAAGCATATTAAAATATTCTTTCCACAGAGCATCTTGTACTCAGCCCTGTTAGCCTCTGTGGCATTAGTAATGGCCCAGAACTACCACCAGGACAACCAGAACTACCCCCAGCTTGACCAGGCCTACCAAACCCCTAGGGTAGTGAAGCCGGACTATGGACAACGCAGCTCAAACAACGGGAACGTCGCCAACATTCTCAAGGAAGTGGGAGACTTCTTCAAGCTCGTGGGGAGTGGGGACTCCAAGGACCCTGAGCGAGCCAAGCAAGTGATGCTGGCGTTCGTGCCCTTCACCCGCAGGGTTCTGGAGGCCTCGGCAGGAGTTGATGGCGCCAACGTCAACAAGGAGGACCTGGAGAGACTGGGTGCTGCCGAGGCTGTCATGCCATCAGTCATCTCCTTCATGGACAGTCTGAGAGCTATCAGTCCTGGGACTAACCAAGGATATCAGCCGGAGTATTCCCAAAGCTACCCAAAAGCGTATCAGTAGGTCATCCATCAGACACCTGAACAAGATTTATTTATACATACACGTGTCAGAACAGATTAATTGTTTAGCAATTAATAACTATTTGATAAAATGCTATAAATTATGAATAAAAATGAATACTATATTTTCTTTTTTTTCAACAAAACTTAACAAAATTAATTTCCTCGGAAAGCTGTTTGAATTGATAATTGCAAAAGTCATTTGTTCACATCTTAAAAACAAAGAATTTTAGGGTCCCCCATCACGGTGTTGCTAATGGCCGCTTGTGCTTAACATATTTACTTTCAATACACATAGAAACCACATTATCGTGATATATCAAGGAGAAAATCAACAGGAGCTCTGATAAGGATTCGAACCTATGAGCTGGGTATTCCCAGATGTACACTTTTTTGTCTAATTTACTCTCATTCTATTCAAGCATAGTTAATGGACCTTCATAAGGAACATTATATACTTCATAATTCATCATTATGAACCCTGACTTTAGAAAATACTTTGATATTATTTCACGAATGACTTAAATAGAGATAGAGGCTCATGGCATTATGGGATTATCCTAAATTGGACTATCTTTCGTTTCTTTAAAGGAAAGAGAGGAACACAATTGGACTTAGGTCCAAGTGGGAAAGCGTTGCTTTACCAACAGAAAGCGTTGTTGAAAGTTCGTTGCCAGTGGCTCTGTCCTTCTACCCTCTTGTTTACCGTAAGTATAAACAGAACTACAATGACAATTATTAAAAAAAAATGCCAGATCCAGATGAGGTGTTGTACAGCATCTTGAAGGAGTGCAGAGAGGATCTCTGTGACCAACTAATAAGAATATTCAATGAATAAATAAACATAGGACTAGTCCATACTGCCTGGAGGGCGCTGATGTCCCAGAAAGAAACAGATCCCTTGCTGCTAACTACTGTCTGATTAGCCTATGGTCGATAGCGGGAAAGTTTCTTGGGGCTGTAATGGCGAATTGCTATTACACCTGTTACATATTGCTATTACAGAGATAGCATCAACGGGGTGCAGCCAGAGTGAAGAAATATCAATAGTTTGGTGTGCTTCCGGGGTCTGAATGGGCCCTTTGGTATTCGCTTGTCAACGACCTTGATGTTCCGGATGACACAAGTGGGGCGAATATGAGATTCGAACGCATTGGTATACACCCAAAAACATCAGTAAAAAGTGTATAAACATCGTCCTCCAATAATATTTGACCCTGGTGAGGCCTCATATTAACTGCGCCACCCAATTCCAGTCAATGTGTTACAGGAGTCTCTTTTCTTAATTTCCTCTCCGTAAAAAATGCAGTGATTTAGCCTAACCAAAAGCAGGAAAACCTAGGCTACCCACCTACTCTCTCTCTCTGCTCGTCCATGGAGACGCAGGGGTAACCTAAGTGGGTAAGTTTCAAATCGTATAATTATGTCTTTCCTCGCGGAGGGCGAGGAAAGACATGATTATACCAATGGAAACGATTACAAATGAGTTAAACCAAGAACAGACCATTAGATCCAAACTAGATTGTTTGTTTATGGAAAGCTTAAGCTGATACAAGCAAAATAATGCGTGGGCTAGAGGTAAAATACTTGTTAGTTAAATTGTTTAAAGTTTTCACAAAGTTATACTGAACTGTATTATTTGGCAATTTGATATATATTTACTTTTTGATTAAAACCAATTTTGTATCATTTGGCTGAAAACGTTTGTCTATAATTATAAAACCGTTGTTTCGAGTAACACTAAATCACAATAATTAAATTGAATAATTTACAACACTAAACACTAAACTGAATAATTTTTTGGAGGTCAAGATTGCCATGCCCTGTAATGATCTAAATAAAAACATTAAATTGTATCTCATTCTTCTTTCAAGATTGAATGACTGATGTTCTTTTTAAACGGGTGTTCGCATGATTTATTTCTAAATCTTGGTATAAGTTTTTGTTGCTCGATGTTGAACACCTTCGAATTTTGCAATATTTTGTTTTAATTCAACAACCAAAACTATGTAATACTGCATTCCATTATATGGCGTACTAGTGAACTGTACATATAGCGGAAAAAATTGTTTAGCAATTAATAACTATTTGATAAAATGCTATAAATTATGAATAAAAATTAATACTATTTTTCTGTTTTGTTTTTTCAAGAAAACTTATGAATAAAAGTTTAACAAATTTCTCCGAAAAATTTCTCAATGAAACTGAATACTGTTAAGGCTTTGTCTAAGTCTCAGTGCACTGCTAACTTGGTCTGAGATCACTACTTACTACCGCACCCAGGTCTCTTCTAATGTACAGGCCTGAGATCACTACTTACTACCACACCTAGGTCTCTTCTAATGTACAGGTCTGAGATCACTACTTACTACCGCACCCAGGTCTCTTCTAATGTACAGGTCTGAGATCACTACTTACTACCACACCTAGGTCTCTTCTAATGTACAGGTCTGAGATCACTACTTACTACCACACCCAGGTCTCTTCTAATGTACAGGTCTGAGATCACTACTTACTACCGCACCCAGGTCTCTTCTAATGTACAGGCCTGAGATCACTACTTACTACCACACCTAGGTCTCTTCTAATGTATAGGTCTGAGATCACTACTTACTACCACACCTAGGTCTCTTCTAATGTACAGGTCTGAGATCACTACTTACTACCGCACCTAGGTCTCTTCTAATGTACAGGTCTGAGATCACTACTTACTACCACACCTAGGTCTCTTCTAATGTATAGGTCTGAGATCACTACTTACTACCACACCTAGGTCTCTTCTAATGTACAGGTCTGAGATCACTACTTACTACCGCACCCAGGTCTCTTCTAATGTACAGGCCTGAGATCACTACTTACTACCGCACTCAGGTCTCCTCTAATGTACATATATAAACTGTATTATTCATCCAGTAACTTGCTTTTAAATTGTTCTTTCTAATATGTATTCCAATCATTTATCAGCATTACAATTTATCTGCCATTCGTTAACTGTGGAAGCCTCGTAGAAATATTCGACACAGGCTCGAATTGTGGAAGCCTAGTACGAATATTCGGGACTTACGAATGGCTCACAGCGTTGCCAACAGCTTCAGTTCCACTATAGCTTAACAGGACCCAGTGCCAGGAAACGGGAGCCACAAATGAACAATTGACTTTGTCGGTTCTGTTGCATCAGTCTGAAGCCAGGGCCGTAGCCAGGTTCTAGACTCAGGGGAACCGAGCATATACAAAATAGGCGTCATGACACCTATCAAATCATTTTAAATTCATTACACATTTTGATTCAGTGTATTAAATCCAAACACATTGAAGATACAGTTTTAAAGGAAGTAAATAAATAACAGAACCTAAAAAACATTAACGTAATTCTATATGGCTTGCTAGCATAATTTTTGTTTATATTTCATTCTAACATACATTAGGATGATTAACTTTTGATGGTACCATAAAAATAATGTACTTATTCTAAGGTTATAAAAGATGCCTTTTCCGGCTAGAACGATGGTAACTAAAAACATCACTGAGGGTATTTACTACAGTTTTTATTGAGAAGTTGATATAGATCAAATAATAAAAAGAAAAAACTTTAGTCCAAGAAATGTTCAGTTCAAGAAAAGTTTAGTTCAAGAAAACTTTCGTTCACGAAAATTTTAATTTAAGAAAACTTTAGTTCAAGAACAATTTAGTTCAAGAAAACTTTCGTTCACGAAAACTTGAGTTCAATTAAACTTTAGTTCAATTAAACTTTAGTTCAAGTAAACTTTAGTTCAAGTAAACTTTAGTTCAAGTAAACTTTAGTTCAAGTAAAAAATAGTTCAAGAAAACTTTAGTTCAAGAAAACTTTAATTCAAGAAAACTTTAGTTCAAGTAAACTTCAGTTCAAGAAAACTTTAGTTCAAGTAAACTTCAGTTCAAGAAAACTTCAGTTCAGGGTACCAATAAGGCTATTGATAACGGTGACCATAATCTTGCTGATAATACTGATTGGTTCCAGGATTTATGTTTCTCAGACTGTCCAAGAACGTTATCACAGACGGCATGACAGCCTCGGCAGCACCCAGTCTCTCCAGGTCCTCTTTGTTGACGTTGGCGCCATCAACTCCTGCCGAGGCCTCCAGAACCCTGCGGGTGAAGGGCACGAACGCCAGCATCACTTGCTTGGCTCGCTCAGGGTCCTTGGAGTCCCCACTCCCCACGAGCTTGAAGAAGTCCCCCACTTCCTTGAGAATGTTGGCGACGTTCCCGTTGTTTGAGCTGGGTTGTCCATAGTCCGGCTTCACAACCCTAGGGGTTTGGTAGGCCTGGTCAAGCTGGGGGTAGTTCTGGTTGTCCTGGTGGTAGTTCTGGTTGTCCTGGTGGTAGTTCTGGGCCATTACTGATGCCACAGAGGCTAACAGGGCCGAGTACAAGATGCTCTGTGGACAGAATATTTTAATACGCTTAATTAGATGATTTATAACAGAGTCACACAGCTGCGGATGTCATAAGCTTGTCAGTTTAACTGATAAAAGAAGACTGTCTCTGACACTAGATCACAACATAACGCTTGCATACTGCTTATTGTATGGTCACTGTGACACTTTGACATACTACAACATTCTTCAGATCACAGAGTGATAAACAACTACATGCAGCAAGACTCCCAACTGATTCAACTGAACACAGCAAAACATTCGACTGAAAACCACGAAACCCGACCAGAAAACGTGAGACCCGCCTGGAGACAGAGCGTTACACACCTTCAGACACATGTTGTGAGGGCGGTGTTGTTGTAGTGAGGAGCCGTCACTGTGCTCTTATATACAGGTTGCTCCAAGTCTCCTCCCTCACAGCCACAAGGTCGCGGCTCTGATATTTGTTATTATTACTGCAGAAAAGTGCTCTCTGTTGCACATCTCATGTCACGCAACTCCAGTCTGGAAAGGCGCAACTCGCGTGAGAAATGGAAACCTCATAAAATGTTTATCGTCAACACGAAGCATCAAAGTGCATTGAACCGAAGGCAACAAGTGTGCTCAGGTCGCACTCTGTTGACACTTAAAAGGAAACGTTGTATAAATCTGCACCGCGTCATACACAAGTCTCAGGAGGGCTCAGGACTCAGGAGGTCATGATAACAAACGGGATTTTTTTGCTTTCGTAACGGATAAAAAAAAGTTTGTGTTATCCTATTATTTCAGTGTAATGTGGTCCTGTTGTTCCAGTTTAAATGTAATAGCTCAGGGCAATAGCCTCATTCACGGTTAATGAACTGAGATGTATAAACTGAGTATAGAAAAGTGCTGTGCAGGACGGGATTCTTGTGGGGACAAACTCCCAAATCACCCATAAATTGTTAATGCAACAGGTAGAAATAAATTTCGCTGGTTGTGTTAATTCTGTTATGAGTAAACACATTATTTAGTCGTAATAAAGACTGAAAATAACGACTTTACCCCAGAAAACGTGTGTATGTGTGAGTTTACTATTTATATTTGCTATTTGTGCCTTCAGGATCGAGCTGTTAGCTCTTGGACCCCACCTTTGTGTGTACGTACGCGCAGATATACTGTTTTACAATTCTTATAGCAATTTAGTGATATACATAAAAGAGATCAGTTGTCAAGTAAAAGTTATCTGCTTGGTGGTTTATATAGACGTGATCGCAACGTGTATTAGCAATAAGACATTGACGGAACTGCAGTTGAACCAACCAACCCGTCCTCAGGCTAGGTTCATTCAGACTGCGCATCCCTGCTCATGATAGACTCGTTCAAGCTGTGGGTCTCTCAAGACGCATTCATCAATTTCAACGCGTTGCGTATTAAAAATACGTTTATTCCCATTTATATATAAATATTATTATACATTAAACTGCTATGTATAATTATGGCTAGGTTAGGTTAGGTATTTAAGTTCTGTTGGCGATTATTTGTATTTGAAGTAAGTGGGTGAAGCCTTTACAGCGTTACGATTCGAACAGAGGTCGTTAGCGAAGCACTGTTCGAGAAATGTCCGAACGTCATCAGTTGTGGGTCGTTTGTAAACTGTTTGTCATTTATAAACAGGGAGTTTGGCTGCTGGATTAACAAACATTTGATCTTTGTTGTTGAGAACCGGCTGCCTGAGGGCAGGTTGGTGGACGAGCTGTATGTGAACAGGCTGCCAATCATGCTTCGAGCGATGGGAAACACGAATCATATTTCGAGCAGTGGGGAAAAATTGAATCAAACCACTTTGGAATTCCGTCTGTGTTTGTCAGTCTGCGGTGAATCTGTGACGGGTGTGGACGGCGGGTGTGATCAAAGTGCGCGTTGCGACTACCTTCAGGTAGTTCCCAGGAGAGTTAGAATGCCCTATGGATTTCATGTTTTGCATTCAGGCTTTAACTGCCGAATTTACTACAGCGTCAACATTTGTAATGTTAGTGTTTTAATCGTTATTATTGTTATTCATATTAAGTTTTATCATTAATTTGATGACATTTTTTAAGCTACTCTGCTCCTGGCAAGTGCTGTTTGAACACATTGTTAAACCTTCAAGTTATAATAGAAGAATGTTTGTTTTTCTTCTATGGCACCGTATGTTTGGTTTCGTGAACATGTTTTCAAGATAATTGTTAATAAATTTAACATGGACATATCTTGTGACGCCTAATACCACCAGTCACGGAAATAAATTTTTTCATTTAATTGTAAAGACCCGTTAGTTATTTCCAAATGATATGCCGAGGTCTCTTAGACATTGTGAAGTGGTACAATGACATTCCCCAAAATTTATCAAGTGGTCCACCGTTGTAATACACAGCCTCCGGGAGGCTGTGTATCTCCCGGGGTAGATGGGAAGGACGTGTAGAGCATCAGCTGCTCTTGCCAGGATGTGGAAAGGGAATAACGGAAAAGGAATAAATGAATGAATTTATTTAATTTATATAATGAATTTATTTAATTTATATAATGTAGATGTAATATGCAATTAGCGTGCAGGTGTATTACGGTTTCGAGACATTTTGTTAGACAAACTTCCTTTGTTAGTGGAGGGACGAGTGCTTTTATAGTTTGTCCGGAGTGAACATATTCCTAGTTGGAATTTTCGTATTTTCATCTTGGCTTGACTCACCTATGTCGCCTGACCGTGATTTTATGTGTCCAGACCCATAGTTGCCTGTAGTTTTTGCTGCTTGAATCTGTTGCACATCCTTTCTCTCTCTCCGAATATCTCTATTATGTATGTTAAATTCTCTGAGCTAACGCTGTTAATCTGTAGCGTACTGACGTGCGTATCCTCGGGAACTGAAGTTAGTCACTCGTCCTGGACACTTCCAGGATTACATCTTGTCGACAACAAACAATATCAGTGGTAATCTTAGCATCACTGTTATTTTCATCTGAAAAAAAGTTCCCTTTGTAAGCTTCTTTCCGTCTAACATTCATTCCTGGTACGAATATTCGGGACTTACGAATGGCTCACAGCGTTGCCAACAGCTTCAGTTCCACTATAGCTTAACAGGACCCAGTGCTAGGAAACGGGAGCCACAAATGAACAATTGACTTTGTCGGTTCTGTTGCATCAGTCTGAAGCCAGGGCCGTAGCCAGGTTCTAGACTCAGGGGAACCGAGCATATATAAAATAGGCGTCATGACACCTATCAAATCATTTTAAATTCATTACACATTTTGATTCAGTGTATTAAATCCAAACACATTGAAGATACAGTTTTAAAGGAAGTAAATAAATAATAGAACCTAAAAAACATTAACGTAATTCTATATGGCTTGCTAGCATAATTTTTGTTTATATTTCATTCTAACATACATTAGGATGATTAACTTTTGATGGTACCATAAAAATAATGTACTTATTCTAAGGTTATAAAAGATGCCTTTTCCGGCTAGAACGATGGTAACTAAAAACATCACTGAGGGTATTTACTACAGTTTTTATTGAGAAGTTGATATAGATCAAATAATAAAAAGAAAAAAATTTAGTCCAAGAAATGTTCAGTTCAAGAAAAGTTTAGTTCAAGAAAACTTTAGTTCAAGAAAACTTTAGTTCAAGAAAACTTCAGTTCAAAAAAACTTTTGTTCAAGTAAACTTTAGTTCAAGAAAACTTCAGTTCAAAAAAACTTTTGTTCAAGTAAACTTTAGTTCAAGAAAACTTCAGTTCAAGAAAACTTCAGTTCAAGAAAATTTTAGTTCAAGAAAACTTCAGTTCAACAAAACTTCAGTTCAGGGTACCAATAAGGCTACTGATAACGGTGACCATAATCTTGCTGATAATACTGATTGGTTCCAGGATTTATGTTTCTCAGACTGTCTAAGAACGTTATCACAGACGGCATGACAGCCTCGGCAGCACCCAGTCTCTCCAGGTCCTCTTTGTTGACGTTGGCGCCATCAACTCCTGCCGAGGCCTCCAGAACCCTGCGGGTGAAGGGCACGAATGCCAGCATCACTTGCTTGGCTCGCTCAGGGTCCTTGGAGTCCCCACTCCCCACGAGCTTGAAGAAGTCCCCCACTTCCTTGAGAATGTTGGCGACGTTCCCGTTGTTTGAGCTGGGTTGTCCATAGTCCGGCTTCACTACCCTAGGGGTTTGGTAGGCCTGGTCAAGCTGGGGGTAGTTCTGGTTGTCTTGGTGGTAGTTCTGGTTGTCTTGGTGGTAGTTCTGGTTGTCCTGGTGGTAGTTCTGGGCCATTACTAATGCCACAGAGGCTAACAGGGCCGAGTACAAGATGCTCTGTGGGCAGAAAAAAATGTATTTATGTAATTATTGTTAGCATTCAAAGTTATATCTTCCTGTTGATTTTATTGTTTTTATAATGAAATATGATGTGTAACCGGCGTTTAAATTAACTAATCAGTGTAAGGCTCACGCAGTTATTCAGTTCTCAACAGCTGTGAATATCACAAGCTTGTCAGTTTGACTACCTCCGGCAGCGTCTCTAGCATGACACTTGGTCACAATATAAACAGAAACTTTCACTCAGATTACTGTTTGACACTTGGACATACTACGTTATTTCCCCTGAATACAGAGTGATATATACCAAGACGAAACAGAGCATCGAACTGACTCAACTGAACAGAGCAGCAATCTCCTCTGGAAACGGCACATTTCGCCTAGAAACTACAATATCTGGAAACCGTCAAACTCACTTGGCAACAGCGATACTCCTCTGGAAAACGGGAAACCCGCCTGGACACAGGGTGTCACTCACCTTCAGACACATGTTGTGAGGGCGGTGTTGGTGTAGTGAGGAGCCATCACTGTGCTCATATATACAGGTTGCTCCAAGTCTCCTCCCTCACAGTCACGCTCACAGGCACAAGGTCGCGGCTGTGGTTTCCAGTCTTATTTTTACACAGCATTTGCGTCGGCGTTAAGTACCCGTTTCCTAGAACTGAAAGTCTGTAAATATATACTAAGAGCGAGGAATATATCGCGCCACATAGCGCTCCTTATGAACGCGGTTCAATTCGTCGTGATGCATTATAAGTAGTAAAAATAGAACAAAAAGTGTTCTAAAGAGAATTCAAATTAAAATAATAACATATTAAGCATGCAATACATGACAAAACCTTCTTAACACTGTGACAAACTCCACCACAGCCACACGCATTATATATTTATATTTCAAGCGAAACTCAGACTTGGAATGGTAATATAAATTTTATTACTTAAATTGTTAAGGAAATTAGTTAGTGACCTGTACCCTAACAGATAAAAATAAAATATTGCAACTTAAAGTATACGCATAACTTAATAATAATTAATTAGTAATAACAAAATAATAAATGTACCAATCCAGATAGTACATGATACCTTCTTACCAAATAGACAACGGAAAATCAATTACAGTAGAACACTTGTCACTTGTAAATAAATGACAGTTGACAGTGGGAATTAATTGCCAATGAAAATCACGAGAGTGCAAAATTACACTGATTAATTACCAATGAACTATTTGCCAATATTCTTTGCAGAATGAGTGGGCTGGGCGTGAGGGAAGTTCAAGTTCAAGTATGTTTATTGAGACAAGAAAGAAATGCATTTCAAAGGGATAGAGTAGCTTAGGCTATTTCTACCCCCCAAAGGTGCGAGGGAGGAGAGCGGGCGGGCAGCACCCAAGCCAGTAGATGCAGGCGTCATGCAGAAGAGACGCTCCAAGTAGACAAGACCCCAATCAGAGGCGCCTGTGAGGCGTGGGGTTGAGGCACACCGACACCAGGCATGAGAAGTCTGAGAGTAAAGTGGCAGAATAAATGAAATTGGTGAAACAAAATGGAAATTGGAAAGCAGGCGAATAAGGCAAATCGGCACGAGAATCGTCCCGATTTAGTGTGTACAGGCGGGCGGGCGGGCGGCAGCGCCATTACAGGCGGGCGAGAGCGCCGTTACAGGCGGACGGCAGCGCCACTGCCGGCGGCCACACAGGAAAAAATGTACAATATGAGCCCCAGGAAAGAAACACAGCAACAACACAGGCCCCGCGAAGGCACAGCAGGAAAAAATATATAACAGCCAAGCCGGGGGCGGAAAGTAAAGCTCAGTGCAACACCTGGAATACCAATAAATATGTAAATTTACACAAAGGGTGACTGTGGCGCCAGAGGGCCGCCGAGGGGACCGGGAGCGAGGGGAATAACTCAAGCCGTGGAAAGAAGGGGAAAGTGCAAATGAAAAACGAAAGAGGCCAAAAGGCAAGGAGGGAAGGGAAGCAAAGTCGGAGAAAGGAAGGCATGGCGAGACAGAAGGCAAAGACAGGTAGCGGAGGGTAGCCAGGAAAATGCCCAGCCTGTCAACAGGCGGCCAGAGAAAACGAGGCATGACGACACAACAGGATTTTGCCCCACTGTTCCTGTCTAGTATAGATATGTCGGTGATATCGTGTGTTTATGGTCCACTACTTTTGATCTTTCTGAGTCTCTTGATCAACGCAATGCTTTAGTCCCTTATCTTGAGGTTATCTTGAGATGATTTCGGGGCTTTTAGTGTCCCCGCGGCCCGGTCTTTGACCAGGCCTCCACCCCTAGGAAGCAGCCCGTGACAGCTGACCTATTTTACCCAGGTACCACCCAGGTACCTATTTTACTGCTAGGTAACAGGGGCATAGGATGAAAGAAACTCTGCCCATTGTTTCTCTCCGGCGCCCGGGATCGAACCCGGGACCACAGGATCACAGGGCTTGGATAAACTTTTCACAGGATTTTATAATCTTTTAATGTCAATTTTGTTCTCAAAAACCAATAATAGAGTAAAATCTATTTTAATTAAGAACTCGCCTATTGCTTCGGCAGGATGTGTATATTCGATGTCTGGCAAAGATGGTGACCTTGAATATATCAGACAGACGGCCAGAACACACGCGTCTCCCAACATCCATGTTCAACAAGGACTGCATAACAGTCTAAGGCAACGAGCCTCTAAGTTAGCACTGCTGATCACGCCATCGAAAAGACTGCCTCAAAAACAGAGTCCACTGCACAGGCTTCTTAGAAAGAAATTTGATTGAGTACTTAACCACAAAGCTAAATGTTTCTACTCATCAGCTCTTCGCTTAGGGAAAGTGGAATAATAATTGCTTTAAAAGCCATATAAGAAATACAGATTTATTTATAAAGTTACGTTAGATAGAGGAATTCAATGAAAAAAGAAACACTTGCAATTGACTAGCAAACGAAATGGAAGCTGTTGGCGGGTGCGTAGAGGCGACCCAGAACGCCAGCATCGCAAGAGAGGTTCCGCAAGCTGCTGTGTGATAATGGCAGGCCTTTTGCACTCTTGTAATTCCAGAAATGTTTTTTTGTGACGATTAGAGTTCGTGGAAGCCATGGTTCGAGTGAAAGTCCCCAGGTGAGGGGGGCGGTAGAAGGTGCCCTTCACTAGTGACCCGTAGCTGCCCTCCGACACACGAAGAGTCCCTCCGCCATCTATAGCTGCCCTCCACTCCTCACAGCGTCCTTCCACTACCACCGTAGCTGCCCTCCACCGTAGCTGCCCTCCACCGTAGCTGCCCTCCACCACCCCTGTTGCTGCCCTTCCCGGCAGCTACGGGTACAATCATGCACGAATCACGTCCGGACTTCACGATAGCGTAGATGCAACACGTTTTTTGTACTTTACTAGTGGGCAAAATGACTTCATTTGAAATGAGACTCATCGCTGTAAGATGTATCGCGTCTTGCATCTTCACGCGGGAAGTGATGAGTTAGCCAAGACTTTTGCTCATAAAGAGGGAATCGGTTACCATCTTGGACTGCCTTTTAGCAGCCTGAAGGGAGTAATATTCCAGGAACATCAACAAAATCTCATAGAATTGAGACAAAGTGAAATTCACTCCAGTAACTCCATCTATCCTACTTCTATTATGCAGGAAGTACCGCACGTCTATGGGTCATCCAATAAGATTAACAGACTTCTAGATGTTACCACTGCTAGGCTTAGGCTCGGCTGCAAGTACCTCTGGGAGTTTGTAACATCTGCTGATGTAGATTTGACTAAATGTAAACTCTGTCAGCAGAACTATTCGCTTACTTTGCGTCATTATATAATGGAAGGGGAATGGAACTATCACGGGAAAGCGCCAAGCCATTAATTATATAATGGAATGTGAAAAAATTGCGGAATTCAGAGATAACACCATCAATGGTGTCCAAGAAATGTGTAAGTACTTTATTCATAATGATGTGCTGCCGGGAATCTTAGCGAAATTACGTCCTCTAATTACTAAACACAAAGCTGTTATTAGGACAATATACAACTCTGGCCCCAGACATCACTCGGCACCCCTTCTCAAATCTCTGAATATGTTAGATATTAAGTCACTGCACATCCTCTCACGTGTATTATATATATATATATATATATATATATATATATATATATATATATATATATATATATATATATATATATATATATATAAAACACGTGATTAAAAATGTGACAATGTCAGACCACGGAGGAAAAATGAAACAGGAATTTCCTTAAGTACTTTCGTATATTAATACATCTTCAGAAGGAGTGATTTTACAGATCGAATACTGGACATAAATAGACTGCACATGACTGTAAAGCTACCGCCCAGTTGAAAGAAAAAAGGAAAAAAATTGAAATTGCATCTTTAAGTAATTACTCGAAGATTAAGATGTGTCGCATCTTGCCTCTTCGGGTAATTACTAAAAGGCTCGACTTGTTATTTTAAGCTCAAATGAGGTGGTACAGAGCGGGACGACCTTGACCTCTCAACCTGACGGGTGCCAGGTATAAATGAGAGGGCAGGCACCGGACCCTTCACTTGATCCTCGTCGTCCAGCGCAGCATGTATTCCCAGGTCAGTGCCCCGCTGGTGAGTGCCAAAATGGCTCCAAGTCAGTGCCACACTGTGTGTAGGTGAGAGTCAATGACTTGTTAGCTAAGACCCACACTTGGTGTCTAGTAGAGTGAGAATATTACAAAACACATCACCAAATTTGCATGTCTATGGTAAAGTAGGAAGCAAAAATGACATTGATGACCGACCAAGAAACGTATATAAAGTACACAAATGGCCAAAAGACTGCCAAAACGTTGTCAATATCAATAAATAAAAGGCGTTGCTTGTACGTCATGACAATGAGCACGAGCAGCCGCGTCTAACAGCCTGGTTGATCAGTCCAGCAACCAGGAGGCCTGGTCGACGACCGGGCCGCGGGGACACTAAGCCCCGGAAGCACCTCAAGGTAACCTCAAGGTAAGGTAACCACAGCTACCGCATCTATAACACTACCATACAGCAGACTAATGAAGATAAACGGAACTAGACGCAAGGTTCCACACGTCATTAAATGCTGTACAACGAGTGGGAGCTGCAGGAAAAAACATCAAACAAACCTTAGAAACAGTAAAAAAAAATCGTTGATTTCAAGGACAAAAAATAAAGTTTATTCAACAGTACAATTGTCTGGTGTTCTGGGACTACTGCATCCACACATGGAGACCTCACCTTCCATCCACACATGGAGACCTCACCTTCCATCCACACATGGAGACCTCACCTTCCATCCACACATGGAGACCTCACCTTCCATCCACACATGGAGACCTCACCTTCCATCCACACATGGAGACCTCACCTTCCATCCACACATGGAGACCTCACCTTCCATCCACACATGGAGACCTCACCTTCCATCCCCACATGGAGACCTCACCTTCCATCCACACATGGAGACCTCACCTTCCATCCACACATGGAGACCTCACCTTCCATCCACACATGGAGACCTCACCTTCCAAAGAACATATCTTCTATGGAGAAACTGCAAAAACAGAGCAACAACAATAATCCCATAACTAAGTCGACTCTCAATCCAGGAACGGTTGAGGGCCATAGGATTAACAATACTGCAAACCAGACATGACAAGGCTCATCTCATCGAGACCTTTAAAATGCGGAACAAGTTACAGGACAGTAATCCAGACCGCTTCTTAAAATTGTTCAGTGTAAGGTAAACAAGGAAGGAATAGCTTCAAGTTCAACAAGCCGACACAAAATAAGATATTTTTTTCACTCCTAGCGTTATAAACCCACGGAACCGCCTACCCGCCGAAGCTTCAGGACAACAAACTGGCGTCTCTAGGAAGCCTTCCTTATTGTGGGGGCTGGTGAGTCCCCCCCCCCTTCATCCCCATCATACTTGCCATTGACAATGAATTAGTTCTTAATCAATACAATTATAGCGTCAAGGGAAGCTGACGGTAGTTGGCTGACGCGTCGGAAATCTTCCCCTCTGTGTCAAGGGAGGCCTATCACTCACCTGAATGCTAAGTGTCAAATTCAAATGCCCCTTCAATAGCCAAGTTAAGGATCAAAACCAGTTTCCTTTACAAAAGTCAGATACGAAATACTGTCACTTAAGACACCACAAAAGTAGAGGAGTAATCTCTCACACTCAGGTTGATGATTTCATAATTTTAAAGGTTTATTTTTAACTACTTCCACAATCTCTGCATCGAAGTCAAACGTAAATATTTGTTTATTTAATAACTGACATGCTCACTACATCATTGAATACAGTATACCTTCTTATTTTTCCATCAGTGTGCTATGTGCGTGTTGCTGTTGGCCTCGCTGGCAGCGGCGGCGCCCCAGAACTATCCATTCGGCCAGCCGCCCCAGACCTACCAGGCTACGGGGGTGCTGGAGCCCGAGTCTGCAGACCTTGGCTCAAATGAGAGGATCGTCGCCGCCACCATCGACATTCTGCCAGAATTAGCCGAAGTCTTCGAGCGAATTGGAGTGGATGGTTTCAGCGACGGTGAGCGAGGCCAGAAGGCGATGTTGGAGTTCTTGCCTCTCACACGCAAGCTCTTGAAGGCCAGGGCAGACGCTGAGGGCACTGAAGTAAGGAAGGAGGACCTGCAGAGAGTCAACGCCGCCGAGGCTGTCATGCCCGCAGTCAACGACTTCGTTAACAGACTCAGAAAACTGAACGTGTATGGATCCAGTGATGCTCAGCAGTAAGGATATCAGCTGGCTACGCCGTTCTTAACTCTAGAACTTACATTATACAATAAATACACATAGTATAAATTAAATACTTAAATCATAACTTATATGTATAATTGTATTTAATATTTTCTAAATAAACTTTGCAAGAAATTATTGTTTATATCTGAGACACTGATGCAGAAGTACCAAAGCTCAATACCGGAGGGCAGTGCAAGGCTCGCTTGACTCAAACACTGTCAGCTAGTCAGCCCGTCCTCCAAACAAAGACCCAAAAGTGATTCCATCCACCCGCCAAACCCCCTGTTTATGAATGAAAAACGGTTTACACACGACTCTCAACTGATTTCGTTCGAACACTTCCGGAACAAGTGCTTCACTGACGAATTTTGTTCGAACCACAACGCTGTAAATGCTTCACCCACGTACTACAAATACAAATAATCGCAAACAGAACTTAAACACCTAACCTAACCTATGCCAATATACATGCACAATATGCTAATATATTATAATAGTAATTTATATTTGGGAAAATTCCCGTTATGAATGAACAACATGGTAAAATTTATGAATGCGTCTGTGGGGTCGACCGCTGGATGTAATGGACTTGAGTCGAGGACGGGTTGCAGCTGGTTATGCCGTTCTTCACTATAGAACTTCCATAATACAATAAATACATCATAGTAAAAATTAAATCCTTAACTTGAAATTATTTGTATGAGTGTATTTATTGCTTATATTAATAGACTTTGCAAACAATATATTTGTGTTTAAATCCGAGACGCTGATAAGAAAGTACCGAAGACGGACACTAAAGAGTCAACCTGAGACTCGTCTGGCTCCTCCACCAACACCCACACTGCCACAACCTGAGACTCGTCTGGCTCCTCCACCAACACCCACACTGCCACAACCTGAGACTCGTCTGGCTCCTCCACCAACACCCACACTGCCACAACCTGAGACTCGTCTGGCTCCTCCACCAACACCCACACTGCCACAACCTGAGACTCGTCTGGCTCCTCCACCAACACCCACACTGCCACAATGTTAGCTCCTCAGAACTATAAGTAATTATTCAACCTAATATATCTAAATTTTAGAAGATTTAAAAGCAAAGTTTCACTAAGTTACACAACACTCTAAAATTTGCAAAGTTGGCTCGTATAAGCCAACGTTTAAAAAAAAAAAATAATAATTGAAAAAAGCACACCAAAGCTCTACGAATGAAAGTTTCTTCTACAGCAACCACAACGGAAGCCTTGTAAACTTTGTATTGATAAACTGTTTATGAAGTCAATGAGGAAAATATTTACTATTCATTTGGTCCCAATGATGCGGTGATGTGACGGCTGGTTCACATAACACGTTAATATGGAAGAATTATTTATTACATGTCTAAATCGCGATCAAGTAACCATTTTTGCAGTCATCAAGTATCATAACTATTTAGTGGCTATTAAATATAGAACATAATAAAGTGGATAATAAGTGAATAATAATAATAATAATAATAATACACAGAGAAATCGCATTAACATGATATATCAAATAACAACTCCACGGGAGTCTTCATGAGGGTTCGAACCTATGTACTGAGTGTTCTTTATAATAATAAAATTTATTATCTTAACAAAATGGAAGCATACTTAAAGGATCGAAATATTTACTTATTGATAATGACCCCATTGGTAAAGTTATTGCACATTTTAACAGAATATTTACAATTTTACACAATGATGAAGAACTTATTACTATATTTTAGAGTCGGTCTTCATCCTGATCCTATATGTGTGGTCTCATTAAGACCACACATATAAGCTATATTATAACCTTTATAATCCAGCTAGTCCAATCATCAGTTCTTTTTTATGTGCCTTGTCTAAATTGTCTCCCTCCGTCCATAGGTTCGATTTCAAACTCACATGTTAAAAAGCATTGATTGGGTCAACAAGTTATTCCATTCGAAAGTGAATTATAATTTAAGTCTTGTGTGCTTTGATGTGATTAACTTGTTCATTAAATAAAGTCCCAGTTGATGATTTGCTGGTCTTCATACAAGACAAACTTCCCAAATACGATCTTGAATTACCCACTTATAGTATTATTGAATTCATTCAATTGTGTATCAAGGTCAAATTATTTTGTTTTCAATGCTAAATACGTTTCACAATGGCTATAGATACCCGTTGTCCCCAGTCTTCAGCAACTCATTATGGAATATTTTGTAAACAACAATTTTGTCTAGGATTTTACACTCTGACATTGGTTGGTTTAGGTACGTCGATGACATTTTGTGCTTGTGACCCACTAACCATGATCCTTCCAAGACTTTTTTTGATCAAGTCAGTCTCCTTTAGTCGTCTCAATCAAATTTACCATTGAGAGAGAGAGAAGAAAATGGAGTGTTGTCTTTCCTGTTTATTAAGATTCGTAGAATCTCAACTGCCCTGCTAACAGAACTTTTAAATCCAGTGTTTACAAAATAACTACTAACGTACATTATTTTTCCAACCATCACGTTCAATTTCAATATTCGGTGTTATCTTTGATGTATTTCAAGGACTTGTGAGTTTGTAGTCTGGAGTTTATTGATGAAGAAACGACTAAAATCTACGACGAAGTTGCAGCGCCAATATTAGTTCTTAACTCAGCTTTGCCACAAACAAAACAGACCTTTAATAATCTTTCACATAATTTTTTTTTCTGCGCGGGCCTAAGCCTATGGCTGGCCCACTAACTCCTAAGGGGGTTAACCTTGGTATCAAAGAGAGAGAGAGAGAGAGAGAGAGAGAGAGAGAGAGAGAGAGAGAGAGAGAGAGAGGGGGGGGGGGGGGAACAGTCGTTTTTCAAGATGATATTGAAAATATTATCTTGAACAACGATATTTAAATACAACACAATATTGACAATGTTCAATAGTTCAAATGTTCAAATGTTCTAGCAACACAAAAATAATCGACAGACACAGCGAAAGTAGATTAGAAATTTCCCTAAAGGCTTTTGTATCAATCCCTCACATTTCATTATCAACAGCCTTGTTACCAACAAAGTTCCTCCACCTAAAATGACCAAGATCCAGAACTACCAGTTTACACCTTAGCTAGGACCCAACTGACCAATGAGAATGCAAGGCAGGATTACCCAGTCCTCGTGTCAGGGGTAACCATCTCGTAAATCTTCGTATATGCGTTGAACGTACTCTGTGAGAGTTTGTATACAAAGTTCTAAATTTAAATCCATAGAGACGAGGACAAACTACTTGTAACTCTGATGGCTGAGTGACGTAGCTGACAGTGTTTGAGTCAAGCGAGCCTTGCACTGGCCCTCCGGTATTGAGCTTTGGTACTTCTGCATCAGTGTCTCAGATATAAACAATAATTCCTTGCAAAGTTTATTTAGAAAATATTAAATAGAATTATGCATATAAGTTATGATTTAAGTATTTAATTTATACTATGTGTATTTATTGTATAATGTAAGTTCTAGAGTGAAGAACGGCGTAGCCAGCTGATATCCTTACTGCTGAGCATCACTGGATCCATACACGTTCAGTTTTCTGAGTCTGTTAACGAAGTCGTTGACTGCGGGCATGACAGCCTCGGCGGCGTTGACTCTCTGCAGGTCCTCCTTCCTTACTTCAGTGCCCTCAGCGTCTGCCTTGGCCTTCAAGAGCTTGCGTGTGAGAGGCAAGAACTCCAACATCGCCTTCTGGCCTCGCTCACCGTCGCTGAAACCATCCACTCCAATTCGCTCGAAGACTTCGGCTAATTCTGGCAGAATGTCGATGGTGGCGGCGACGATCCTCTCATTTGAGCCAAGGTCTGCAGACTCGGGCTCCAGCACCCCCGTAGCCTGGTAGGTCTGGGCCGGCTGGCCGAAAGGATAGTTCTGGGGCGCCGCCGCTGCCAGCGAGGCCACCAGGAACACGCACATAGCACACTGATGGAAAAATAAGAAGGTATACTGTATTAACTTAAGAATGTAGTGGACGTATGCAAATTACATGAATAAATGAATGAATTTAACAGTTGTTTAGAGGTAGCGGAAATATTTTAATTAAAGGCAATTAATGAAATTATCGTGAAGATTGAACAATATAATCGGTGAGTGATTAATATGAGCGCTTGTTAGTATTCATCAAACGTCTGGCCGAGTGTATATATATATATATATATATATATATATATATATAACAGAAAACTCCTCGCCCCTGAAGGATTCGAACCCTGACATCCAGGGCTCCCTGCGTCTTGGCGTGTCCAGTACTTTAGCCAGTGTCCAGTGCTTTCGGGGATTGGGTGAAAAGTCTGACGTCTTTCAATCCCTTTGAACATGACTTATAGCCATGCTGGCACTGACCAGCGGGGCACTGACTTAGAGCCACGGTGGCACTCACCAGCGGGGCACTGACCTAGAGCCACGGTGGCACTGACAAGCGGGGCACTGACTTAGAGCCACGGTGGCACTGACCAGTGGGGCACTGACCTAGAGCCACGGTGGCACTCACCAGCGTGGCACTGACTTAGAGCCACGGTGGCACTGACCAGCGGGGCACTGACTTAGAGCCACGGTGGCACTGACCAGCGTGGCACTCACCTGGGAATACATGCTGCGCTGGGTGACGAGGATCAAGTGAAGGGTCCGGTGCCTGCCCTCTCATTTATACCTGGCACCCGTCAGGTTGAGAGGGCAAGGTCGTCTCGTCTGTGTTGCCTCAGCTTGGATCAAAACATAACCCATCATCCTGTTTTGATAGTACTTTTTATATGTACATCATAGTACAATAATTGACAAAAAATGCAATATATATATTAGAATGTGGTATTCTTCTCAAGTTCGAAAACAAATTAACTTAAAAAACAAACTCTAATATTCGTAGGCCTAATATAGCACATATATGTACTATATTAGGCCTCAGATAGCGTGTTATTAGGCCTCAGATAGCGTGTTATTAGGCCTCAGATAGCGTGTTATTAGGCCTCAGATAGCGTGTTATTAGGCCTAGGAAGGTTAGGTTAGTTTAGGTTGTCTTTGCAACATAAATATAAAACCTTTTCCGGTTTATCCAAATTCAATAGTAACTATTTCTACTTTCTAATTATCCATGACGTCATATATGTACTATAGTCCTCATCGTTACTATAAGTACTCACTAAACAGGAGGATGGACTGCAGAGTAACAAGTTGAATCTTTTAGTAACTACTTGAAGTCGCAAGATGAGACACATATTAATCTTTCAGTAACTACCTGAAGTCGCAAGATGAGACACATATTAATCTTTCAGTAACTACCTGAAGTCGCAAGATGAGACACATATTAATCTTTCAGTAACTACCTGAAGTCGCAAGATGAGACACATATTAATCTTTCAGTAACTACCTGAAGTCGCAAGATGAGACACATATTAATCTTTCAGTAACTACCTGAAGTCGCAAGATGAGACACATATTAATCTTTCAGTAACTACCTGAAGTCGCAAGATGAGACACATATTAATCTTTCAGTAACTACCTGAAGTCGCAAGATGAGACACATATTAATCTTTCAGTAACTACCTGAAGTCGCAAGATGAGACACATATTAATCTTTCAGTAACTACCTGAAGTCGCAAGATGAGACACATATTAATCTTTCAGTAACTACCTGAAGTCGCAAGATGAGACACATATTAATCTTTTAGTAACTACCTGAAGTCGCAAGATGAGACACATATTAATCTTTTAGTAACTACCTGAAGTCGCAAGATGAGACACATATTAATCTTTCAGTAACTACCTGAAGTCGCAAGATGAGACACTATTAATCTTTCAGTAACTACCTGAAGTCGCAAGATGAGACACATATTAATCTTTCAGTAACTACCTGAAGTCGCAAGATGAGACACATATTAATCTTTTAGTAACTACCTGAAGTCGCAAGATGAGACACTATTAATCTTTCAGTAACTACCTGAAGTCGCAAGATGAGACACTATTAATCTTTCAGTAACTACCTGAAGTCGCAAGATGAGACACATATTAATCTTTCAGTAACTACCTGAAGATGCAAGATGAGACACTATTAATCTTTCAGTAACTACCTGAAGTCGCAAGATGAGACACTATTAATCTTTCAGTAACTACCTGAAGTCGCAAGATGAGACACTATTAATCTTTCAGTAACTACCTGAAGTCGCAAGATGAGACACATATTAATCTTTCAGTAACTACCTGAAGTCGCAAGATGAGACACATATTAATCTTTCAGTAACTACCTGAAGTCGCAAGATGAGACACATATTAATCTTTCAGTAACTACCTGAAGTCGCAAGATGAGACACATATTAATCTTTCAGTAACTACCTGAAGTCGCAAGATGAGACACATATTAATCTTTCAGTAACTACCTGAAGTCGCAAGATGAGACACATATTAATCTTTCAGTAACTACCTGAAGATGCAAGATGAGACACTATTAATCTTTCAGTAACTACCTGAAGTCGCAAGATGAGACACTATTAATCTTTCAGTAACTACCTGAAGTCGCAAGATGAGACACATATTAATCTTTCAGTAACTACCTGAAGTCGCAAGATGAGACACATATTAATCTTTCAGTAACTACCTGAAGATGCAAGATGACACGCCACTTTCAGTGATGAGTTTCATTCCAAATCAAATATTCCAGCTCTTATACCCGTTCTTCGGCACCAGTTTCAGATGGTGAAACAGGGCCGTCTTAACAGTATTATGGGCCCCTACGACCTGGGCCGTCTTAACAGTATTATGGGCCCCTACGACCAGGGCCGTCTTAACAGCATTATGGGCCCCTACGACCAGGACCGTCTTAACAGCATTATAGACCCTTACGACCAGGGCCGTCTTAACAGCATTATAGACCCTTACGACCAGGGCCGTCTTAACAGCATTATAGACCCCTACGACCAGGGCCGTCTTAACAGCATTATAGACCCTTACGACCAGGGCCGTCTTAACAGCATTATAGACCCTTACGACCAGGGCCGTCTTAACAGCATTATAGACCCTTACGACCAGGGCCGTCTTAACAGCATTATAGACCCTAACGACCAGGGCCGTCTTAACAGCATTATGGGCCCCTGGGCCCACCAGTGTGCTGGGCCCCCACGACAACCACTCACAGGAATCAAAAGTAAATGGTCGACAATATTAAACATATTTTTATTTTATTGACACTTCAACAAAACTCTTGATAAAACATTAAAAACATGCTGGAGAGCAGCAACTAATCAAGATTTGAACAATTCACAAGGCTTGAAAAACACAATAATATTAGATAGCGCAGTATGAAATTACTACGAACTTCTTATTATAACTAGCATTTGCGGCATTTTTGTTCAAAAACTTGCTTTATTGTTGGCTTCAGTGGTCTTCAGTGTGTTATTTTCCATGCACATGTGTCAAAGCGAGTTCCAACGATGCTGCCTCACTGTATTACGAAGCAGAATTTGTATAAGTTTCAGTCTTGAAAGAAAGTTCTCTTGTACAGTTGGACATCATCACGCACGTGAACACTCTGAGTACAATTTCAACATTCGGGAATACAGATTTCAAACTGTCCCCCCAAAATTTTTTTTGTAAAGTGCAGGGAAAGTGTCATAATATTCATCCAGAGCCATGTAGTGCTTGAGATACTCACATTTATTTAAAAGGTCATTAAAGGGTTTATTTAAAAGGTTAAAAGGTTTATTTAAAAGGTCATAATTCAGGTCATTGTGATACATATTAGCCAGATGTTACCACTTTGTTATTTAGGTCATCAGAAGCAATGATTTTCAATTCACTGAAGAAAGAAAACAAATTTTCCAATCTGTGAATAAGCTTCTGCACCTTTTGTCAGGTCAAAGATTAGAGTGTCCAGGATAGGGAGGAAAGTTTCCTCCTTAAAATTTTCGGTTTTAATGAGAAGTACTTACTTCTCACTTCGAAGTACTTCCGACTCACTTCGAAGTACTTCCGAAGTACGAAGTACTTCGAAGTAAACCGAAGTACTTCTTGAGAAGTACTTCGGTTTAATGCCTGTCCCTACCTGTCCTCATCACAATCGACTTGAGAATGGTCCAGGACGGACCGAAACGTCGTCGTCCCTTCAATTTCTAGTGTGTGGTCTGGTCAACATGAGAAGTACCTCTTCTGCTGAGTCATCATATCTACTAAGACACACTCCGTTTTCAGTCCAGTTTTTTTCCCATCACTGTAATCTGTATCTTGACGCATCTTTTCAAATTCAAATTCAAATTCTGGCTTTGAATTCATACTCACTAAATTTCTCTCTAGTTTCTTGAAGATAGGTTTTCATAGACTCGAGAAGATTCGTGGCTGATGAAAGATGTTCATATGAACAAAGATGTTCAGAAGAAAGGATGTTCATATCCTTTGATTACAAGACTTTATTTGGTTTGTTCATTCTTACTAGCAGATCATTCCAAAGAATTGTGAGAAAGATTGTTTCCAGGTTTTCAATATTTTTTTTGCTCAATTCTTCTGCCTTGTAGGGAGCCGGTCGGCCGAGCGGATAGCACGCTGAACTTGTGATCCTGTGGTCCTGGGTTCGATCCCAGGCGCCGGCGAGAAACAATGGGCAGAGTTTCTTTCACCCTATGCCCCTGTTACCTAGCAGTAAAATAGGTACCTGGGTGTTAGTCAGCTGTCACGGGCTGCTTCCTGGGGGTGGAGGCCTGGTCGAGGACCGGGCCGCGGGGACACTAAAAAAAGCCCCGAAATCATCTCAAGATAACCTCAAGATAACCTCAAGATTGTATTCACTTGTTGTTCATTGTCAGCTGATAGAGCATCCAGTGTATGTTTTATTTTCTCGAAACTCCTCCCCCTCCCCTATGAAACTCATCCCCCTCCCCTATGAAACTCCTCCCCCTCCCCTATGAAACTCCTCCCCCTCCCCTATGAAACTCCTCCCCCTCCCCTATGAAACTCCTCCCCCTCCCCTATGAAACTCCTCCCCCTCCCCTATGAAACTCCTCCCCCTCCCCTATGTAACTCCTCCCCCTTCCCTATGAAACTTCTCCCCCTCCCCTATGTAACTCCTCCCCCTTCCCTATGAAACTCCTCCCCCTCCCCTATTCAGAGCATGAACAGCATCAAATTGTGCTGACCATCGTCTGTCAGACAGACGCTTGACCACAAAATATTTTCCAAAAGATGATGTCAATACATTCCAGCGATGAGTAGAACCTGCAAAAAAATAATACAGAAGCTGAACAAAGTCAAAGAATTTGACAGTCTGTAGACAACACTGCTGTTTTTACTCCCGTCAAGTTCAGGCTGTATCCAGCACAGGTGACATAGATGACACATTCATTGAGAAGATGAATCTGTGCTTGCAATCCAGTATATCGTCTAGACATATTTGAGGCATTATCGTATGACTGACCACGGCACACATAGAAATCACAATTGCGTGATGCATCAAATGAACAAATCCACAAAGGCCGTGACGAGGATTCGAACCTGCGTCCGAGAGCATCCCAGACGAACCCAGAAGTTCGTCTGGGATGCTTCTGGGTTCGTGATGCTCTCGGACGCAGGTTCGAATCCTCGTAACGGCCCTTGTGGATTTGTTCATTTGACCACGGCAGTTTGATAGTGAAATTTTGTTCTCATTAAAAAAACCCGTGACAGCGTCTGTTAGATCCTTTGCTCCATGAGAAAAGATGAAGATGAACATCAAGAAACATTCCAGAGGCTCACATCCTTTAATGAATTCGACAATAAATCAATAAATGTCAGTTGATCTGTGTGTGAGACGTCTGGAGTGGAAGCTACACTTTTTGAGTAAGACTTTGACTCTTTTACTTCTTCAAAAATAGTACAAAGAACCTGTTGTTCCATTAATTCAATAAATCCTCAAAAATATTTGCAGATAAATATGACGGATTCCCTTTTCCAGGATTTCCATACATTTTGAAATGTTCTTCCAAGAAAGGGTCAAATTCACTCATCAGCTCCAGTATACCTAAACAGTTGTCATTTTTGGCTGAACTAATAAATCAGATTTTCTCCACGAAATGGCAAACCTCTCGAGGCAAGAAAGCGAATTACAGAAACCACACGTGTCAACACTTTGTGTCAATATTCCTGCTCTAAGCGATCTTGCTCAAGTAATACAGAATCTACACTTCCTGTTTCACTATGCCTTATCAAATATGCTGTCATGTACTTTCGATGTTCTTCACCATTTTCATGTTCTACAATAACATTGCTGTACTTCCAGTCATTGATCCCCAATGTAGCACAGGGAGATTCCTTCTTGGACAATTGTAGACATACAAAGCAATACAAACGACCTTGTGATGGTGACTTAGAGTAGCCATTCACGTTTTACTTTCTCGCCTTTCCACAGTTCACGATTGAACACATTGTTTGACAAATACCTTTACTTCATATTCTCTACTCCACCTGTTTTATTACTCTCTACGTGAGTTTGAAAGGTTGCTATCATGATTCTGACATGATGACGGCCCACTACGAATCCAGTAATCTATTGTGTTAGTATCGTTAATGTTCCGTAGCCCCGGACCTGTCTCTTGGATTGCAAACTCCTTTACTGTTACAGATTTGGGTATTTCCTCTTGTAAAATGTCACCAGCAGCAACAACAGCATCAGGCAATGATGGTATGTCTGCTGAAACTGGATGATTGGTAGCAGGAATGGATGTAGATGTGGATGCTATATCTGAAGGAACAGTCCTAGTGGCTGACATTGCAGGAGTGGATGCTGAAGTGGATGCTATATCTGAAGGAACAGTACTAGTGGCTGACATTGCAGGAGTGGATGCTGATGTGGATGCTATATGTGAAGGAATGGTACGAATGGCTGTCATTATACCTGTGTTGAGGCACAAAGTTAATTTTGTAAGTGTTCATATTTTCCCCTTCTCAGCTCTAATTAAAACATAACGTTTTAAGTGGAGCTGAAATTTCTGCTGAAAGGACTATTCACCTGGAAATAAATATATACATCTTAAATATTTAGTATTTAGTCCCATACCAGGATGTAGGGTTATGTTATATAAGTGTGCTTGCAACAAGACTTAAATATTTAAACATTCTGCTTACATAATGAACATGTCCTATGCTCGTGGGGCCCCTATGATTGTGGGGCCCCCAAACAACTGGCCATCGGGCCCTTGCGGTAAGACGGCTCTGGGGTGAAGAGTGAGTACGAATGATGGAGGACAGCTACAAACAATGAAAGGCAGGTGGGAGTGGTGGCAGACAGTTATAAATTGTGGATGGCAGCCACGGATGTTGAAAGGCAGCCACGAGTGACGGAGAGCAGCTACAAGTGATGGAAAGTATCCACGAGTGTTATTGTTTTTAGATTAATCAACTCGGAAGAAAAAGTTCCAATTCGCACGAGCTATGGTGAGCCCGTAGTGAACTTACCAGGCACAGGAGCCGGGATGTAACTCTGCACGAGTGATAGAGGGCAGCTACGAATGATAGAGGGCAGGCACGGGGATAGCGAAGGGCAGCCGTTTGTTGTCTTCTCACCTGGACTTTCACTACGGCTGTCGCCGCCTGCCACGTGCCTCGACGCTTCCCAGAACTCTAAGTGGCACAAGAAACCTTTCTGAGAATTACAAGAGTGCAAAAAAAAGGCCGCTAGTATTGTAAAGAAGCTTGATTGTGTTACACGAGTTCTGGGCCAACTCAATCCTGCATCAGCTTTCAACTATTTTACCCATCTGCAGTTACATTCAAGTTATTATTTTTGTTATTTGCATTATTCCCCTCTAATTATTACGACTTTTACAAATAAAGATTCTGTTTCAAAAATGGTTTTAAATGCGTTTATTTTCTCACTTTACTTTTCTAATGAGCAGTTTCTGGTATAGTTCGGTGCTCGGGCCTTAATATATATCAGATTACATTAATTATTTTAATAATGTAATTTATAAAAAAAATATAAAACAAATTACATCATATCTTCACGTCAAGATGAAGTGAAGATTGATATTATTGGCTTAGATAAAGTTATTCTACTTATTCTGTATTACTTATATATCCCTTTGTTAAAAAAAATAATATTTTGGTTGTGCAATGAACATGTATTACAGATTGGTGCTGTGATATATTGAACATTCGTGTCTTCCTTGAGTGCTGCTGTGAAGAGATTCAGCATGTTTCTGTGGTATTCTTAGTGGGTTTCTTGGTATTCTTAGTGGGTTTCTTGGTATTCTTAGTGGGTTTCTTGGTATTCTTAGTTTACTAGTTGTGTTTTTACGGGGGTTGAGCTTTGCTCTTTCGGCCCGCCTCTCAACTGTCAATCAACTGTTTACTAACTACTTTTTTTTTTTTTTTTTTTTTTTTTTTTTTTTTTTTTTCCACACCACACACACACACCCCAGGAAGCAGCCCGTGACAGCTGACTAACTCCCAGGTACCTATTTACTGCTAGGTAACAGGGGCATTCAGGGTGAAAGAAACTTTGCCCATTTGTTTCTGCCTCGTGCGGGAATCGAACCCGCGCCACAGAATTACGAATCCTGCGCGCTATCCACCAGGCTACGAGGCCCCTGTTAGTGGGTTTCTTGGTATTCTTAGTGGGTTTCTTGGTATTCTTAGTGGGTTTCTTGGTATTCTTAGTGGGTTTCTTGGTATTCTTAGTGGGTTTCTTGGCATTCTTAGTGGGTTTCTTGGTATTCTTAGTGGGTTTCTTGGTATTCTTAGTGGGTTTCTTGGCATTCTTAGTGGGTTTCTTGGTATTCTTAGTGGGTTTCTTGGCATTCTTAGTGGGTTTCTTGGTATTCTTAGTGGGTTTCTTGGTATTCTTAGTGGGTTTCTTGGTATTCTTAGTGGGTTTCTTGGTATTCTTAGTGGGTTTCTAGGCATTCTTAGTGGGTTTCTTGGTATTCTTAGTGGGTTTCTTGGTATTCTTAGTGGGTTTCTTGGCATTCTTAGTGGGTTTCTTGGTATTCTTAGTGGGTTTCTTGGCATTCTTAGTGGGTTTCTTGGTATTCTTAGTGGGTTTCTTGGTATTCTTAGTGGATTTCTTGGTATTCTTAGTGGGTTTCTTGGTATTCTTAGTGGGTTTCTTGGCATTCTTAGTGGGTTTCTTGGTATTCTTAGTGGGTTTCTTGGTATTTTTAGTGGGTTTCTTTGAATTCTTAGTGGATTTCTTAGTATTCCTAGTGGGTTTCTTGGTATTCTTAGTGGGTTTCTTTGAATTCTTAGTGGATTTCTTAGTATTCCTAGTGGGTTCTTGGTATTCTTAGTGGGTTTCTTTGAATTCTTAGTGGATTTCTTAGTATTCCTAGTGGGTTTCTTGGTATTCTTAGTGAGCTTCTTGGTATTCCTTGGGGATTTCTTGGTATCCTTAGTGGGTCTTCGTGGCGTAACAGTCCCCGGGTCTTATAGCTCACGTTTGACGCCGTCACACGCGTTCAGTGATGGAATAACAATTCCTCCTCTGGAACTAATGGAATGATGGACTCTCTCGCCTGTGGAATAGTCCAGCCAGTTAGTGTCGAATATCCAGCAAAGTTCAATGTCTTTGACACGCTAAATCCTGTTTTTGTTAGTCTAGACTACGAGGGCGTCTGTGTCTGTACATGGGTGTGGATTGGGAGGAATATTTCCCCCCTCTAAAGGTGTAACTGAGTATTAGTTTAGGCTTCACGCAATTTTTAAAGGTAATTTGTTGACCAGACCACACACTAGAAGTTGAAGGGACGACGACGTTTGGTGCTATGTAATTTTAATTTACGTGGCCATACTTCAGCCACGTTATTGTGACTCATCGCCTTTAAAGGTAATTGTTGGCCTTTTGTGTAATGGCATAATAATTGACTAAGCCTGATATTTGGAATATGTGGTTGCTTATTTGCAAATTATTTTGTTACCTGCTTGATACCTGGTTGATGGGGTTCTGGGAGTTCTTCTACTCCCCAAGCCCGGCCCGAGGCCAGGCTCGACTTGTGAGAGTTTGGTCCACCAGGCTGTTGCTTGGAGCGGCCCGCAGGCCCACATACCCACCACAGCCCGGTTGGTCCGGCACTCCTTGGAGGAATAAATCTAGTTTCCTCTTGAAAATGTCCACGGTTGTTCCGGCAATATTTCTTATGCTTGCTGGGAGGACGTTGAACAACCGCAAAGGAATATGTACACCGAGATGTGTGTGTGTGGGTGTATCCCGCTTCTCGGTGTACGTAAACTTGGGGTATCCTTTAGTTCTTATTTTTGTTTAGGATTAGTGTATACTGCTGGTTGGTAAGTGGTAAGTGGTTGGTATTGTGGTGACCTCAATATCCCTCCCACAGATGAGAGCCCTTCAGGGCCATCCCCAAACTTAACAACCCGGTCGGAGCCGGTCGGCCGAGCGGACAGCACACTGGACTTGTGATCCTGTGGTCCCGGGTTCGATCCCGGGCGCCGGCGAGAAACATTGGGCAGAGTTTCTTTCATCCTATGCCCCTGTTACCTAGCAGTAAAATAGGTACTTGGGTGTTAGTCAGCTGTCACGGGCTGCTTCCTGGGGGTGGAGGCCTGGTCGAGGACCGGGCCGCGGGGACACTAAAAGCCCCGAAATCATCTCAAGATAATCTCAAGATCTCAAGATAACCTCAAGATCTCAAGATAACCCGAATGTTGTCAAGCGAGTGTGTATGATGTGGAGTCAGGAGAGTGTGTATAGTCAGAGATGAGAGGGTCAGTGAGGTGTATGGTCTTCGTGTTATGTTGAAGAGTGTGAGTTCGGCTTTGTTGACGTTTGGCCGGTGTCTCCGGGTTCTGGTGCTGTCTGGGAGAGACTGTCTCTCGCTAGTGATGGTCTAGGGAGCTACGTCCGTCGATGAGCTATTAAATTTAGATTCAGTTTGTATTTTAGATTTAGATTTAGTAATTTAGATGGCCAGCCAACAAACACTTCAACCACTCGACAACAACATAATGAAATGTGAGATATAAACATCACACAAATGTACATAAAAATATACATCACATACATAGACTTTAATAGAGACAACTGCAGCAATAAAATGTCATAGAAAATTGCTGAACAATTTACTTAATACTCATGATATAATTCTGAGTATCCTGCCAGACCTGATCCGGCATTACAACTCCAAGATGACGGCAAGGCACAGCCACAAGGTGCCACGCTGAGGTGTCACCGAGCGGGATGACCTTGCCCTCTCAACCTGACGAGTGCCAGGTATAAATGAGAGGGCAGGCACCGGACACTTCACTTGATCCTCATCACCCAGCGCAGCATGTATTCCCAGGTGAGTGCCACCGTGGCTCTAAGTCAGTGCCACGCTGGTGAGTGCCACCGTGGCTCTAAGTCAGTGCCACGCTGGTGAGTGCCACCGTGGCTCTAAGTCAGTGCCCCGTTGGTGAGTGCCATCGTAGCTCTTGGTCAGTGCCACGCTGGTGAGTGCCACCGTGGATCTAAGTCAGTGCCCCGCTGGTGAGTGCCACCGTGGCTCTAAGTCAGTGCCCCGCTGGTGAGTGCCACCGTGGCTCTAAGTCAGTGCCACGTTGGTGAATGCCATAGTAGCTCTAGGTCAGTGCCACGCTGGTGAGTGCCATCGTAGCTCTAAGTCAGTGCCACGTTGGTGAGTGCCACCGTGGCTCTAAGTCAGTGCCCCGCTGGTGAGTGCCACCGTGGCTCTAAGTCAGTGCCCCGCTGGTGAGTGCCACCGTGGCTCTAAGTCAGTGCCACGTTGGTGAGTGTCACCGTGGCTCTAAGTCAGTGCCACGTTGGTGAGTGCCATCGTAGCTCTAGGTCAGTGCCACGCTGGTGAGTGCCATTCTTGGTATTCTTAGTGAGTTTCTTGGTATTCTTAGTGGGTTTCTTGGTATTCTTAGTGGGTTTCTTGGTATTCTTAGTGAGTTTCTTGGTATTCTTAGTGGGTTTCTTGGTATTCTTAGTGGGTTTCTTGGTATTCTTAGTGGGTTTCTTGGTATTCTTAGTGGGTTTCTTGGTATTCTTAGTGGGTTTCTTGGTATTCTTAGTGGGTTTCTTGGTGTTCTTAGTGGGTTTCTTGGTATTATTAGTGGGTTTCTGTGGTATTCTTAGTGGGTTTCTTGGTATTCCTTGGGGATTTCTTGGAATCCTTAGTGGGTCTTCGTGGCGTAACAGTCCCCGGGTCTTATAGCTCACGTTTGACGCCGTCACACGCGTTCAGTGATGGAATAACAATTCCTCCTCTGGAACTAATGGAATGATGGACTCTCTCGCCTGTGGAATAGTCCAGCCAGTTAGTGTCGAATATCCAGCAAAGTTCAATGTCTTTGACACGCTAAATCCTGTTTTTGTTAGTCTAGACTACGAGGGCGTCTGTGTCTGTACATGGGTGTGGATTGGGAGGAATATTTCCCCCCTCTAAAGGTGTAACTGAGTATTAGTTTAGGCTTCACGCAATTTTTAAAGGTAATTTGTTGACCAGACCACACACTAGAAGTTGAAGGGACGACGACGTTTGGTGCTATGTAATTTTAATTTACGTGGCCATACTTCAGCCACGTTATTGTGACTCATCGCCTTTAAAGGTAATTGTTGGCCTTTTGTGTAATGGCATAATAATTGACTAAGCCTGATATTTGGAATATGTGGTTGCTTATTTGCAAATTATTTTGTGCACAGGAATATGTACACCGAGATGTGTGGGTGTGGGTGTATCCCGCTTCTCGGTGTACGTAAACTTGGGGTATCCTTTAGTTCTTATTTTTGTTTAGGATTAGTGTATACCGCTGGTTGGTAAGTATACTATTGTAGTGACCTCAGTATCCCTCCCACAGATGAGAGCCCTTCAGGGCCATCCCCAAACTTAACAACCCGGTCGGAGCCGGTCGGCCGAGCGGACAGCACACTGGACTTGTGATCCTGTGGTCCCGGGTTCGATCCCGGGCGCCGGAGAGAAACATTGGGCAGAGTTTCTTTCACCCTATGCCCCTGTTACCTAGCAGTAAAATAGGTACTTGGGTGTTAGTCAGCTGTCACGGGCTGCTTCCTGGGGGTGGAGGCCTGGTCGAGGACCGGGCCGCGGGGACACTAAAAGCCCCGAAATCATCTCAAGATAACCTTAAGATCTCAAGATAACCTCAAGATCTCAAGATAACCTCAAGATCTCAAGATAACCCGAATGTTGTCAAGCGAGTGTGTATGATGTGGACTCAGGAGAGTGTGTATAGTCAGAGATGAGAGGGTCAGAGAGGTGTATGGTCTTCGTGTTTTGTTGAAGAGTGTGAGTTCGGCTTTGTTGACGTTTGGCCGGTGTCTCCGGGTTCTGGTGCTGTCTGGGAGAGACTGTCTCTCGCTAGTGATGGTCTAGGGAGCTACGTCCGTCGATGAGCTATTAAATTTAGATTCAGTTTGTAATTTAGATTTAGATTTAGATTTAGATTTAGTAATTTAGATGGCCAGCCAACAAACGCTTCAACCACTCGACAACAACATAATGAAATGTGAGATATAAACATCACACAAATGTACATACAAATATACATCACATACATAGACTTTAATAGAGGCAACTGCAGCAATAAAATGTCATAGAAAATTGCTGAACAATTTACTTAATACTCATGATATAATTCTGAGTATCCTGCCAGACCTGATCCGGCATTACAACTCCAAGATGACGGCAAGGCACAGCCACAAGGTGCCACGCTGAGGTGTCACCGAGCGGGATGACCTTGCCCTCTCAACCTGACGGGTGCCAGGTATAAATGAGAGGGCAGGCACCGGACACTTCACTTGATCCTCATCACCCAGCGCAGCATGTATTCCCAGGTGAGTGCCACGCTGGTGAGTGCCACCGTGGCTCTAAGTCAGTGCCACGCTGGTGAGTGCCACCGTGGCTCTAAGTCAGTGCCACGCTGGTGACTGCCACCGTGGCTCTAAGTCAGTGCCCCGCTGGTGAGTGCCACCGTGGCTCTAAGTCAGTGCCACGTTGGTGAGTGCCATCGTAGCTCTAGGTCAGTGCCACGCTGGTGAGTGCCACCGTGGCTCTAAGTCAGTGCCCCGCTGGTGAGTGCCACCGTGGCTCTAAGTCAGTGCCCCGCTGGTGAGTGCCACCGTGGCTCTAAGTCAGTGCCACGTTGGTGAGTGTCACCGTGGCTCTAAGTCAGTGCCACGTTGGTGAGTGCCATCGTAGCTCTAGGTCAGTGCCACGCTGGTGAGTGCCACCGTGGCTCTAAGTCAGTGCCACGCTGGTGAGTGCCATCGTAGCTCTAAGTCAGTGCCACGAATCAGGAGGGGGGAGGGAGGCTCTAATTTCATATCAACCACCGTCGATAAAATAATATAAAAAATAATCATCCTTGCTACTATTTCTGTCAAGTTCTTCTACACAGGCCTCACCATACACGTGGAGGTCCACCTCACCATACACGTGGAGGTCCACCTCACCATACACGTGGAGGTCCACCTCACCATACACGTGGAGGTCCACCTCACCATACACGTGGAGGTCCACCTCACCATACACGTGGAGGCCCACCTCACCATACACGTGGAGGTCCACCTCACCATACACGTGGAGGTCCACCTCACCATACACGTGGAGGTCCACTACACAAACTCCATCATACACGACATACACATCATTCGTCCCGGAACTGAGAGGAATGAGCTACGAGGAAAGGCTAAAGGAGCTGAACCTCACATCCCTGGAAAACAGAAGAGTAAGGGGAGACATGATAACCACCTACAAAAAATTCTCAGGGGAATTGACACGGTGGACAAAGACACACTCTTCAGCACGGGTGGGACACGAACAAGGGGACACAGGTGGAAACTTAGTACCCAGATGAGCCACAGAGACGTTAGAAAGAATTTTTTCAGTGTCAGAGTAGTTAATAAATGGAATGCTTTAAGCAGTGATGTGGTGGAGCCTGACTCCATACACAGTTTCAAATGTAGATATGATAGAGCCCAGTAGGCTCAGGAATCTGTACACCAGTTGATTGACAGTTGAGAGGCGGGACCAAAGAGCCAAAGCTCAACATCGCAAGCACAACTAGGTGAGTACACGTGTAGCTACGCTATACAAACCTGTAATCCCATTACCACAGAATAATAACATATTCTCCTATCAAAACATACATAACAGATATATCACGACCCACAAATATGGCGCCCTACCAGGTCGTCCACAAATTTCTATTGGATGTGCCACTATCGGCGTCTAGCCGTTCAGTCATGAGCGTGTGAAGTGGCCTAACAGGTGCCACTCAGGAACACCTGCCCAATTTATCCACTTAAGGGATTTTGGCATTCAGTAGGATCCACACAGACACGACCTCCCAATAGGCTTCAGATCGCCCCTATATCGTCACCACGATAGCAGAGATTACGGTACATGTCCTTCAGCAGCTTCCTCACACGTTGATCTCGTAGCTTTCTCTCAAACTCTTCACAATGAGCTACAAATTTCCTTCTTCGTCATGTTGTTGTTGTTAAAGATTCGCTACCTGGAACAAAGTCCCAAGTAGCACGGGCTATGGTGAGCCCGCAGAGTTCTTCGTCAGGAAGCAACGACCTCCGTGCATCCCTGTCGTCTCTCACGTCTCAAGTGAGGCATGAGAGGCGCCTCACTTCGTTCACGTCGTCTCATAATATAGTTCATATATATATATATATATATATATATATATATATATATATATATATATATATATATATATATATATATATATATATATATATATATATGTCGTACCTAATAGCCAGAACGCACTTTTCAGCCTACTATGCAAGGCCCGATTTGCCTAATAAGCCAAGTTTTCATGAATTAATATATTTTCTCTATTTTTTTTCTTATGAAATGATAAAGCTACCCATTTCATTATGCATGAGGTCAATTTTCTTTTATTGAAGTTAAAATTAGCGTAGATATATGACCGAACCTAACCAACCCTACCTAACCTAACCTAACCTATCTTTATAGGTTAGGTTAGGTTAGGTAGCAGAAAAAGTTAGGTTAGGTTAGGTTAGGTAGGTTAGGTAGTCAAAAATACATTAATTCATGAAAACTTGGCTTATTAGGCAAATCGGGCCTTGAATAGTAGGCTGAAAAGTGAGTTCTGGCTATTAGGTACGACATATATATGTATATATATATATATATATATATGTCGTACCTAGTAGCCAGAACGCACTTCTCAGCCTACTATGCAAGGCCCGATTTGCCTAATAAGCCAAGTTTTCATGAATTAATTGTTTTTGACTACCTAACCTACCTAACCTAACCTAACCTAACTTTTTTGGCTACCTAAC